GCGAACTTTTTGCACAACGAACCCACACGCGGCCGACATGTCGCGTTGGACGATGGACTTGACTTGAACCAGAAAAATCTTCTAAAATAATTTATGCGAAGATTCGCGAAATTTCTAATTTTTTCATCAAGATTTCATTTTCATGAGAGAATTCCGAGGGAAAGTAGAAAGCAAATTACTAATTTTAAATACAGGTTAATGCCTTTTCTACTCCCAGTTGATGCGCTACAAATAACTTTAGAGCGTCCACCCGTATTAAAATATCCCTCAAGCGCATTTTAAAATCCAATGTCAAATTGATTCAATCAAATCACAAAAACCCAAAAGGATGTTCTTTGCAACCAATTTCAAAAACTGCACCTTGATTCAACATAAAATTAAAAAATCAACGCTGTAAAGCCTCCAAACCATCTCGTATATTTCAGGGAAACAGGACTCCGATCGTTTCCTCTTTTCCGGAAGTACTCAAATGTAACCCAAATCGGATCCGAACTCGTATGAAGAAAGGGTACTGTTGCTAACCGGACCCGATTCCCCCCCAACCTTGAACCGCGCAGTTGAACTCATCCAACACGACCCGACGAACGAACGAACCAAGAAGGAAATGCTGCGTCACAATAAGGACAGGGAAGACGCAAAAGTAATAAAAACGCTAACAGTCAAATCAACCCTCCTCTACTTTCCCAAAACAACAGTCAAAAATACGAGATAATACGAGGATTGTTTCATAAGTTTTGAGAATTTTTGTAACAGATCCAACGGAGTTTCAACGATTACAAATAAAAATATTAATCGCAAAGCTCCATCATTTGGCAACACTTCAGTGCTGTTCAAAATACTCTACGCCGTTTTCAATACAATTTTTTCATGCAATAAATCCAGTGATCAAAACAGTGCCAAAAATCGAGTTCTGCCAGTTGATTAGGCACCCTGTTATTTTTGCCTGGCAGTGAAGAACAACTAGAAAGGAATTGTTTCTGAGTACACGGAAAACTTCATTTCTACCATCAAAGATCAGCTAATCAACAACTGGAACTCGACTTTCGACGCTCTTCAGTTCATCGGATTCATCGCATGAAAAAAAATGCATCAAAATTAGCAGAGTGTGTTGAACGGCATTGAAGCGTTGCCAAATGATGGGGATTATTCGAGTTAATTTCTTATTCATTTTCGGAATTGTTGGAACTCCGTTGGATCTTTTTCAGAAAGTCTCAAAACTTATGAACCGACCCTCGCATAAATACAAAAGAAAAATACGTCCAAGTCCGCAGATAACATATGTTCGAGAAAAAGGACAAGTTTCCATACTATTCCGTCCCTGAAACTACGCAACGAATCGACAGCCGTCTCCTGTCCGTATGCTTTCTGCTCCCCCTTTTTTCTTTCTCGTTCGTTCGTCACACAAAAATAGAACACGTGAAGAAAACGTGAACGGTTTTCCCATGCCCGGACTATAAGAAGCCTTCTCAGCTGTTGCATATTCGGCAGGGGAACGCGAAAAGGAGAATCACTTCCTAGGTCCGCCTTTTCCGGGCCAGCACTGACGGCTCGTTATTATTATTCTTTTATATATATAATACATATACAAGAGTTGAATAGGCTTGGGAGAGAAGAACCAAGCGACCAAGTCCCGAGGTTCACCCATAATTGTTTCTCAGACGAAAAACAGTTGCATAGGATCGACTCATCTACGTATTCACACGTGTTCACTACGTGTTCACAATTCCCAGACAAGTTATGCGCAAGTTCTTCTGGTAAGAATACATTTCAAGCAGTTCTTCTTCCAACTGCGATTTAAAGCAGTTTTTGTCTCTCTTTCCGTACATTTTTTTCTTCAAGTGAAATTACACCGAGAAGTTTGTTTCTCAGTGCAATTAATCACCATTTGACGACAAAAAGTACTGCTCACCCATCATCAGAACAAACCATTCAAGAAAAACTTCATTCTTTCAAATGAAGGAACATGAGACAAGAATTTTTTAAAATTGAAAAAATAAATTTACAGATTAAACGATTTCGGGTGGCAATGATTAATTTCAATGAGTTTCCAAGTAACAAGCAACAAATAATAAATGCGGTGAAATTGTTCCAGGAATCTTCATCAGATAAAACTGATAAATTGAACAAAAGTCTCGGGAAGTCGATTTCGAGAGCAATGGCCGGAAAAAATCGAAATTATCGACATTCTCCCAACATTTGAAAAAAAATGCAATGTGCTTCTAACATGTAAACATTACAGACATGAAATTCAGACGCACAACAGAGTATTTCCTAAAAATTAATAAATAAATATGCATTCAATACATGCATACAACACGGTACGGGGTGCATCGCTTGAAATTTTTCAAATTCGGCTGAGAAATTAAATAATCATACAATACAGAATTACTAATAATCAGAAAAGACGATTTCCAATAATAAATTTATTTTCTCAGATGAAGAAACTACTTATTGAATTGAAGAGAATTTTTTACACTAAAAAAACATACGCGACCGGTGCATTAAAAATATTCTGCAAAATAAAAAATGTTATCAAGTAAAAAATTGGAAAGTTTCTAAAATCGATCAATTTTTTCCATTTTAAATCGAAAACAGATGCGTTCGTTCGATTCAAAATGCAAACATTCCATTTTTCAGCGCATCAAAAGGCATACCATACAGTATAATAAATAACCTGCATTGAAACCAGACAATTATGACTAGCAGAAAAGCGGTCCATCAAAAGCCATTCGAGATTCTATAGGTCACGACAACGTCTGGAGCACGAACAAAAATCGAAAAAAATACGGAATACAGAAATGAATACCTTCGATGATTTACCGAGAAAAAGTGTCCTCAGCTTTTCCTGAATCAAAACATCCGTTATTCTCAATAATTTGCCACAAGCCACGATTGAGCAGCGAAGGGTGAGAATAATTTCAATGAATAAATTCGACGCTTTGAAATACCAATGACAGGTGGTGGTATTCCGACTGCGCCACATTTCAATCCCACCATGGAAAAATCTTGCGTTACATAAATAATTCTTTAAAAATCGTCCCAAAAGTTGGAGGGTGGGGAGAAATGGTCAATGCCGACAAGTTCGAACAAGAAGACCTCGTCAGGACAAAAGATTCTCATTATAAATGCAAAAATGCCAGTGGAAAAATTCTAGGAAGGGGTCAGTTTCCGCGGAAATTTCCACGCTTGACGAAGGAAAAAAAAAATCTCGCGAGTATCAACGTCAAATCACAGATGACCAACGATAACTAGGATGACGATGATTAACGCGGTATTTTCATTCGAATTATGCGAACTAGTCATCGGGGATAATATTTTTTTACACGAGGGAAAAGAATGAGCAAATTTGCAATCCACCCACTCATTTGAAGAATGCAGTTTTTGACTCATTCAAGACCCAAAAAAAAACCCCTTCTTCAACAGACACATTTTTGACACACCGGGAAAAATTCAGGACCATTTCCGCGTTAATGGAAATTTTCCACGTTGAAGCAAATACAATCTTCGCGCATGCAGATTTCTAATGTAAAAATACATGAAATTCTGTAGTCTCCTTATAAATAAAGTCGATTGGTCCGCAATTTTCAGTCTTGGAAAAAATTATTGACAAGAGTTTCAGGGGGCCTCTGTTCATTTGAAAACGGTATCCATGATTCTGACAACCTTTTTCACCGGCAATTTGACATTCTAGGTATCCCAGATTTAAAAAAAAAATCCCTTCATAATCAGCGTATTATGACACTTACAGAACAAAGCAGTTGTTCTTCATTGGAGCCTGAATATGTGGAGCAAGTCATTAAACATAATTTTTCCCCGAAGGAAATACAGTACAGTAATTGATTTTTTTTGCCGGATTCCAACTCTCAACTTGGGTCAAAAATCAATCAATTATTTATTAATCACACTGTATTTTCCTTTTTAAGCTGGACGCGATTCCCGATTTTCTCATGTCCGACACAAACCGCCAATTTTCTGAATCAAAGTTGTATAATTTCAAAAACTTCAGCAGATTTAAACGCGAGTTTGATCTTCAAAAGGAAGCCTCGTGCAACTTATTTATATTTAAGGGGGTTCCATATTTGAGCAAAAGTTCAATTCAGATTTAACTTGAGCATAAAATTACATTTATACAGACCGTATTGTAATTATTTTGGTTTTGACAAACGTACAGAATGCCCCGAATTCTCAATTTTTAAATGCATAAAGAAAATGTTGACCGGTTTTTTCATAATCAGGAACATGTGGTCTTTGGTCAACAAGTAAATACAGTACGCGTAATCCGCAAAATCAATAACTCATGCATCAACCCTCGGATTTCACCAGCTCCTAAAAATACTCTTCACGAAAATGATTGAACTGAACAACTGAACATTCCGATCTTAGGCATCTCTGTTCTCAAAATTCACTGAATATACTGAGTCCTTGGGATGTACCGTAAAAAAAAAAAAAAAACTGCACTGGAACCCCGTACTAAAAATAATGAGCCAGTTGATCTGAATTCCAAATCATCTAAGCCAACATTTCAACAACGTCGACAAAACAGCGTATTGGAATTCTTCTACAGTGAAGTACTGTAAATACGCACAACCCATGCACTTGGAACAGACTTGTAAACAAAGCCACGTGACCTAGCCGTCGTTTGGCTCCATATCTTCCTTTCTCTTTCGAATCTTTCTATAAAACAAAAAGACTTGAAAGAGCAATAAAATTAAAACCGGGGTTTTCTTTCTACAGCCGGATGTCGAAATGCGACAAGAGATGGCGACGAAGGTGACAAGAGACGGACGCCAGAAACATGCCCAACTTCTTCTTCTTCTCCGCCTCTCTTCCTTTCCTCGCCAAGTCTTTCTCGCCTCACGTTTTTTTTCCTTCACCCAAGTTTTCCGCATTATCATCTACAAGTTCTTCATCTCAACGTTTCCTTTTTTTCGTCTCGCTTCTCTTCTCTTCTTTCTTCCCTTCATTTATTCATTCCAACCCCGGTTTAGCCAGTCAGTCAGTCAGTCGAAAAGCAGGGCTTCCAACTTTATTATGCGACGGTAGTCGTCGTCTCTCGTCGGCCAGGCGACTTCGTGGCGCCAAACAACCCCGTAGTGTTCTGGATCCGACGCCACCAGTGTGTGTGTGTGAGGCAAGATAAACTCACTAGTCACTACTGCAGTACGGTAAAAAGACACATCACTCACGGTCCATAATTATATTCAGCTGGTATTCAACGATTTTCTACGAGGGACGAACTCTGCCCCTGGCAGACCTCAAGTCCATCCATGATCAGATTTATCTACACTGAAGAGAAATTTGCGAGTAATGCTTGGGCTCAATGAATTGTGCTGTAGAACAATGTAAAAAAAAGCTTTTGGAAGTATTGGAACCTTGAAAAAAAATTCCGATTCAAACCAGAAATGGTTGAAACGAAATTAAAATACAGTTGAACCTGACAAAACGTTCGACTCCGGGAGATTTGCTGTTAGGAAACACGCATTTTTATGTGGGAAAGATAGCGGAATTGTCAGAAATTGTAACTGGCGATATTCTGGGTCTTGAATTGCTTCCTAAATGAGTTCACAGGATGCTGAACTTGGACGAATCAAGGGTTCATTCGCCCATCAATCATTCTTTCACTTCTACTCATAACACATCAAACTCCATTTTTTATTGATTTTATTTTTATTCACTTCCTTTCATAACACATCAAAATCTAATTTTTAAATCGATTTTCTCTTTCCTTCAACAAGAAAATAATAAGACAGAAGGCCTCAAAACATTCGAGATAGGGAGGTTCAATAGGAAAACGTTTCGAGTTGGAGAGGTTTTTAAGGCATTGTTTCTATCATTCCAAGGGAATTCAGACGGGGACTAGAAAAAAATTCGACTTATCCAGGTTCAACTGTAACATCTTTGCTAGCCGACAAGGGAAAAAAATTACACCAGTTGTAAGCATCAAGTCGCTAATACGAGATTAGCTGTGCCGAGATTCTACTTTTACTGTACATCGAACATTCTGCAAATCCAACAAAACATTGAACTTGGACTTGGCTAACAGGATAATTACCCGCGTTTATTTGTTTCTTGGGCTAAAAGCAAGCGTGTCCCTAATAAAACTTTTGAAAGGATTAAATTATTTTTCAAGGTAGAATTTTTACCAGAAGTTAATGTTTATGCGTTGTTCTGGAAGTTGAAACAAAAAGGCGTGTTTTAATAAGTACTGTATATCGTCCCTTGATATGAAACACGTCATTTCTCGGTTTACTGCAACACATATTTTTCCCCAAATAAAGACCAGCTGTCGTCATCTGGATTGATAACTTCATATTACTGTATCCGTATTTCAAATAACCGAGTGGCATTAAATTAATGTGGACTAAGAGAAAGAGCGACTTCTTTCTGAATCATCAAAAAAGGCAGATTCGACAGAAACGTGAGACTTTTACGCGGCAACTTTTATTCCGGTTCCTTTTTCTAAATCAGGGCAATTCACATTAATACAGCCATAAAAAATAAAATGATGTAATTATACAGTAAGGTATATACAAGTGGACTTTTTTCTACAACGATTTTTTTTTCTGTCCAATGGGATTCTCTTTCCATGTAATATGGGTTCTATACAACGAAATTCTCTCGACAACGCACTTTCCCAGTGCCCTTGAATTTTGTTGTGCAGAGTACTTGAAAAACAATTGAATGATTTCAAAATTTTCGCGATAGAACTTCCTAAATTTCTCAAAAAAATCGTCGCTTTCAGTTCAGGACGATGCGTAAATTTCTCTTGAATCGCCGATTAGAACATTTCTGCAGCCTTTTTCCGCTAATGACACATAATCCCAAGGGGAACTTCATGCATGGTTCTGAAGTTTGACCAGAAACCAACCAGAAATTGAGATTTTCTCAGCATATTCCTCGATTCTTCTGATCATTAATTTTGATGAGCCTATTTTTTTCAATTTTTTCCACTCGAGCTTGAATAATTTCGTCATTCATTCGCATTCGTCTCAACCTTTGAAGAATATTGCAAAAACCCTTCTCACCTCCGGAACGTCCCCCGCAAAAAGGTATACAATTAATTTTACGGCTACAGGCTGCAATTCCCGATATAAAAATGAGACCCATCCCAATAATATTCCACCAGTCCAATCTTGGGCGAGGAAAAAAAATACCTTGGTCGTATTTTCGGAGAAACATGGTCGCATATTCCTAAAACAATTTCATTCCTATGAGAACATTCCCTGTAGACCTTGTCAAGCAAATATTTGCGCAGTTCGTTCCCACAGAATGACCTCCGTGCCAGTTTATTCATATTTTGACGAAGATCCACCTTCCCAAAGCATTTTACACCCAACAGGAATTTAAAAAAATAAACCCAAAACACTCCGCGCCAACCCTGACATTGCCGGAATATTATCAGACACACACACACACACCAGAATTTACGCGCAGAAAATATTCGTTTTTTTGCTCACTACGATAACAATGCTCATTCCTTGTTTTTAAGCGTGGAAAATACCGTCAACATAAAAACAGTACAGTACTGTACTAGTCCAAAACACAGACAAAGCTACGAAGGGTCGTAGGAGATGAACAGGACAGCTGAGACTTGGAAAGGCGCCCAGACTCTCTTTTTAAACTCTGCATCTGTCTGCCAGTCTCGCGGAACGACGGAGGTACCCAGGGTTCAATACAGTACAGTACAGTAAAATACGATACGCAGAACACGAGCACCGAATATACCACAGACCAAAAGGGCACGAAATGGGAGAGAAATATGCCGCACTTGAAAGAATGCGAGACTGAGTCTACGGGGAGTTCCACGACGCGTAGTGGAGCCAGTTATTGATCCCTGGAATTTCCCAGTTTACTATGAATAAAACCCGTGGCCCAGAATGACCGAACCCAAAGAGAGTACGCCAATATTACGACGCTTGAGATAATTTGAGAGGAAAATACTTTCGCACAGCGCCTCAATTTAAGATTATTAATCTTACTCAGTCGTACGAATTATTTGCTCTAACGAAACAATTACTTCAATCACATACATTAATAGCAGTTTTTTATTAATTGGTTTCAGTCCATATAAGTACAGTGCCGTAATTCATTTCAAGATAAATGCGTAAGTTTCAGAAGCATTGAAATAATACCGACCTTCGTTAGATTGAGGATGAAAGCTTCTCCGACAATTATAACAAAAAACGAATTAATTCCAGCGCTATTAAATGTAAATACTGCAATGCGACAAATTCATGCAAGATAAATGTGCGAATATCGGCAACAGGTAGCTTTCTTCGTGTGAAAAAAAAAATTGAAATTCCAATAATAAGCTAATACGGGTATAGACAAACACCCAAGTTCCCGGTACTCTGACTTTTCAGGAGCCTAAAACGTATCCAGGTTATCCCAAGAAAAATAACAGGGCCCACACAACCCTCGCTGTACCGGTTCAGTCAATGACTCAGGCATCTTGCAATGCTAAAAGCTGATTGGTTCTTGATTATTCTCCGTTTCAATTCCAAAAAAAACGAAGTGCTTAATCATGTTACAGACAGATCTCCTGATGAAGATGCATATTTACATGAATTGCAAAAATACGCAAATACAGGCGGTCTCTCTAGAACGAGTTTGTCTAAAACGAGATTCTCGAAAACGAATTCTTCCGGGGGTGTCCAATGGGGTTCTATCCAAATATTACAGAATTCCTTTACAACGAAATTCTCTCGAGAAGGATTTTTTCTGTTCTCTTGAATTTCGTAGCAGAGAGTCCACGTGTATGACTTCAAAAATTAAAAAAGAGTGCTTATATTGCATTCGCATAAATACGGTAAGTATAAAACAAACCATGAATAAGCATGGGTTCTAGACACGATAAGAGTAAAATTTAATCCATCGTATCTTATCGTCCTCAAGCGGAGAGTAAAGTTCTGAAAGTGATCTTACAGAAATTGAAAGAATTCCCTATGAGCTATGATATGAAGTATGCGACTGTCAAAAGTTGTTGATATTGTACTGTAACTCATATTAGAGTAACTTCGTTTATAAAATGCATCACGAACAAAATACAGAAGTTTCGGCTTTAATTCAACATTTGTCTGCATCTGCAACCTCCAAAACCTGATTTCCATTTTCCTCGAATTGAGTTCACTGCCGCTTTTGAATTCCCTAGCTATATTGCAGAGATTTCTGGGTTTTTTTCTCTTCAGAAAACGCGTTTGCACACTCAGGCGTTGCCATTACTCAAATGCTGTGCGTCTCGAAAACAAATTTCAATGAAACTCATCTTCGAGACCAACGATAAACGTTAAAAAAAATCGCGGAAGCAAGATACAAAAGCATATATTTCGCAGAAGATCCATTTACCTACCATCGATCGTAATCGCGAAAATTATTCATCCTTGAAAGCTCTCAACTCATTTCTTGACTCATTTTTTTTTGCACGGGTCTCGTATAATGTGTTTTTCCAATACGCAGATCATCTGATACCTTATTGCTTCATTATTCAAACATTGTTTTCTCCAGAGTCATCCACGTGCATGTTTTCGACGTGGTTCAAGGTTAGTACAGTAATGGCAAACACGCAGAACCACGCGTGGTCAAAGATAACTGCAGGTACAGTAAAATACAATATCTCCAAAGCGTCACATCAAATGGTGACACGAAAAATATGAACAATTGTTGGGCTATTCATAGCCAATACTGTACTTTTCGGTTCAGCGCGCCTTTTTTCGCGATCATGGATTTTATAGCGAAAAGGTATGAAAATCCCGAGAGCTCAACAAGGAAGTACAGCTTAGAATCTTCAAAACCATTTCTTTCATAGTGGGAGCATCTGGATTGTTCCTCCCAACATGCTTCGACAACACGCCCATTAAAGTAGGTCCATAGAAGATTCCGACCCTGAATTTTAAATCAATTATCTGGCGAGGCATGATGTCGAGGGAAGAAAAAGTCTGCCAGTGAAAAGCGAAGAAGTACAGTAATTTTCATTCACAATAGTCAACAGATCACCAACACTGGAAATTATCTCTTCATGATAATTTTCGCACAGTTTTTCGTGCTGCCTCCAGGTGATTATCGCAATTACTCATGCCCTTCATGTTGTTTGCATCAATTTAAGGAAGGTTTACCGGCAATAAAATATGCCAACTTCAATCGGTGGTATTTCAAATA